CAACCAAACTGTACAGAGTCGTTTCTTTTAGGCATTTCCATATACAGTTCAAAAAACGAAGAAGTCGCACAATAACCACGCTCACCTCCCATACAAAGGTTATGTTGAAAGTCGCTAAAAGTGCGTTAACCGACTAACAAAAAACGTCAGAACTAAATTTTACGGAAGAAATTTCAGAAGGAAGCTGCATCSAGGTTTTTTTTTAAATTGAAAATGGGCGTGGCGATGCCCACTTATGGACCAAAAACCATATCTCAGGAAGTACTCAATTCGGTATATAATATTTTCTTAACACCGTGATGACATGTACCAAATATGGGTGAAATCGGTTCACAACCCGCCTGAAATCTCGATTATCACTTTATCATGCGAGAGTATAAAATGTTCGGTGACAGGCGAACTTAGCCCTTCCTTACTTGTTGAAATTATATTGCTGTAGCCGTTTTTAGAGGTTATCGATGAATGTTTGAACTATCCCACACATCTTGACAGTGATATAACGGTAACAAAAAATACACGAACGTGCCACTACGAAGTTGAATTGCATGCGCTCCATGTATCATCAGTGATACATTTAATAAACTTATTTCAAATCAACCAAAAATTTGTTCATACATGATACATGGACGCTGTACAAATGGTACAAGAAAATAATTTTGTATCACATGTGATACATTGGACAGGGAACCGGTTAATACTTGAATGATCGAATTGTAACCCGACTGCGGCTGTTACTTGATAGTGGCTTGAAACTAGAGTCCTTTCTGATTGTTTCAGTCCACTTTCATTATTCGTTATATTACAAACCATTCAATACAACAGATGCCTCTTTGCATAAACTTATTGTTTGGATAGCTTTTCAAAACCATCAAGACTATTTGCATTATTAGAAAATAGCTTTCCAATAAAAAATCCCAGAATTATTTTTCTTTGACTGCTCTATATTGAATGCATGTTAACGATATTATAAATTGTAAACGAGTATTGGTTTCTTATACGTTCTATATACGTATACTAACTATATGTTTTGCTATGGTCTATGCTAAAGTGCTTATCAAAAGAGGGTCTTGCTGAGCAATCGACAAGTGAATAAACATCCCTACTAATATTATAAAAGCGAATGCAAGTTTGTTTGTTACGTTTTCACGCAAGAACTACTTAAGCGATCATCATGAAACTTTGTACATATGCATACTCTTGAAGGTATTAAAAATAGCATAGGGTACTTTATATTAAAAAAAAAATAATAATTTACGAAAGATAAAAAATTGTTTGTCAAAAAATCGTCAAATTTAGCTACTTCAACGCCATCTACCATTACAGTAATGAAGTTTCAACCCTGAATACTGAAATACCGTCTCACTGTATTACCGGCGGTGACGACAATATCTAATTCAATTGAATATAGTTTCAACTGTTTCTAATTTTTCTATATTTATTGTTATTTTCTTCTGTCATTACATGCAGTATAAAACTATTCAAAATTTTGAGGTAATCCGTAATTTTTGTGGTTAGCTGGCACTTTATTATTTTAGATCTTACTCGCTGTTGTTAATTCTTGCTCTGCTTTTCTTTGAAAACGCCTTGGAAGCGGAAATCTGGTCTATCTAAAAATTCATCGCAGGCCCGTGCCGCAAAAGCTGTACGAAATCAAGAATACATCAAGGCTCACGCAGAGCTGAGAAGAAAAACAACAAGCAGAGCGACAAAGAGCTTTGAGAGCAGCTGAAACGCTGCTTCAGGCACGAATTCGTTTAGAAGGACAAGCTGCACTGCAGACAATTAGAAGAGCGATAGAAACACCAGAACAGTCGCTGGTGAGAAGAATTCAAAATGCAGACATGCAGACCACGCGCCGCCGAAATTTCATGCGTAATGATTGGGCTGTGTTTAATGTTAGTGGGTTTCAATATGATCATTCATTTGAATATCATAATCATCCATTGATTGTTATTGGCACAATGTATGAAAAATGTCAGTTCTGCGATGCTTTTAAATGGAAAGATGAAACTGCTGGAATGTGCTGTTCCGGTGGTAAAGTTTCACTTCCATTACTTGGTGAACCAAAAGAGCCTTTTTGAAAACTTTATTATTAAATGTTACAGTTGAGTCAAAGCTATTTCTAAGCAAAATAAGAAAGTATGGGGAATGTTTAGTATCGCGCCGGTTAAGTATCGTTTATAAAATATATTTTAAAACAAAGTTCGATAATTTAAGCATACATGCGTGTTTAAAATTTTCCAGTTGGTTCTCTCGTTTAGGTACGGTGAGCCAAAATTAACCGGCGCGATGCTAAACACAACCCGAAAGTATAACTCTTGCTTTCAAATGGCATTCTTTGGAGTTGGTAAAGTGATAAGAATGCCCGGGTTTTCACCAACTTTTTCCGTACAAGGACAGATATATCATCAAGTTCGTTCACTATTTCCAGAAGATGATGATCAGCTTGAATTTCTGCAGGTATACTTTATGGATGATGAAACAAATGAAGTAAATCGTCGTTGCCAATATATTGAAGGAGTAGAATGCGAAACGGTATTGAAAACTCAACGAATCTTACACAGTCACAATGTCCTGGTAAAAATCTTTAAATGTACAATGGACAACTGGCCTTCAGACAATTACAAAGTTATCATTCATACTGATCGATGTTCAATGAAGTTGCTGTTGCTTGTTGGTTACTGGTGACCCGAGCTCTACAAGAGACATAGTATTACGGGCACATGACAATACGCTAAAGCGTGTAGCCGATACTCATAGATTCTATGATGCTTCGCAGTACCCATTAATATTCAGTAAAGGAGAATCTGGATATTTTTTTAATATTCGAGTCATTAATCCAACGAGGGGACAACCAATTCCAAACAAAAAAGTTTTCTGCATGGACTTTTATGCGTATTAAATGATGCTTCGATTTTCATAAATTTTTGGAAAATATGTATGCTAAAGTAGAG